GCTGAGAGAGAAAGAAGGAAGGAAAGAAAGACCACAGTGGTCACTGGACTTGCAGAAGGAGAGAATAGACCCAGAGTTGCTAGGGGTGGAGGGGGAGAAAGGAAAGGGAGGTTAGGGAAAAGTTGGGTGGGAGACACAGGGAATAATTGCAGTTTGAGATAATGGGCATGCTGCTAGTATTGATTTGATCATCCATCTTGGACACAGGTGATGACAGTCAGCTTTGTGCCCCATTAATATGCATAATCAATAAAAAAGAAAAAAATAGATTAACCTATCTACTTTCTTGTCCTTCCTGCTTCTGGCATGAGAGAGATTCTGACTTTAAGGTGTTTTTGTGCAGATTGCATGGACCAGGTTGCATCCCCTCTCTTCATACACAGTCTACCTAGGTGGTATCACTCCTTTTAAGCTATCCGGATGCAGGTACCTTTTGGAAAGCCTTTCTGTCCCCTCAGAAGTATGTCCACCCCAATTTGAAGCCTGCTGCTATCTCTTCTCCCTGCTTCAGCTTCACTGACTTTTAGGCCCTGGATTATGAATCAAGCTCTTTTAAGCTTTAGGTCCTTCCCAATAGCTGTTCTGTCTGCCTGGACCAGTCTGCTTAAAGATCTTTGCATGAAGAAACCATTATTCAGGTTTTCAGTTCAAATCTTGCCTTCTCAATATAAATGCATGAGGTGATAGTTACATTAACCACCCTGACCCAATCATTATACAACATATATATGCATCAAAATATCAGATTGTACCCCTTAAGCATGTACAATTACAATGTGTTTATTAAAATAAACTAAAAAGAAAAACAAATCTTACCTTCCCAGAGAAGCTATCTCTGAACTAACTTTTTATTTTATTTTATTTTATTTTTTTTGTGACCGGTAAGGGGATCGCAACCCTTGGCTTGGTGTCGCCCGCACCGTGCTCAGCCAGTGAGCGCACCGGCCATCCCTATATAGGATCCGAACCTGTGGCCTCGGCGCTCCCAGTGCTGCACTCTCCCAAGTGAGCCACAGGGTCAGCCCTGAACTAACTTTGATATGTAAGTCATTCTAGTAATTTTCTTGATGAAATAAAATCTAAATGGGCAAAAATAACTAAAAATTGAGACAGAATATCCATTCTTGATCTGTAATTATTCTCTGTGTGTCTAATGGAGACACATCAAGAGCTCTCTGTGGAGTTGCTGCTTCACAAATGTGGAGAAAAGAGTAGGAGATAGATGCTCACTGAGATATAAAACGTCCATAATTTTATCTGCACTCACTTCTAACTCAGGGATTTCCTTAATTCTCTACATGAAACTATGCACACATTTGGGACTTCCTGGTAGAAATTATGAATAGGAAACATAGCAGGAGTATTTATTTAAGTGACACATAAAGACAAAAATAGTAGATACAGGTATCATTATTTTTATGGGTCAGTGATTCAAAATAAAAGAGCAAAATGACTGTTAGATGAAATAAGCTAGGGTAAAAATTATATATATATACACACACATATACGAAGAGAGAGAAAGAAAGAGAAATATAGATAAACACACACACACACACACACACACATAATGGTTATTCAATAAATATATTTTGAACGGATGAATTATGTCTTAATTTTATAATTTAACTCTTAGTCATCTTATTTCCAAATGTTTGAGGAAGAGTCTCTCACCTTCTCACCCCTACCCCACCAGCCTACAAAATGTATCCTACTTCATTTTTCAAATAGAATGTGAAAAACAGTGATCCAGGAATGACATTGTCTTAGTCCATTAGTGTTGCTAAACAGAATACCACAGACTGTGGAATTTATAATGAACATAAATTCATTGGCTCACACTTTTGGAGGCTGGGAAGTTCAAGATCCAGGGGCAGGCATCTGACAAGCGCCTTCTTGATGCGTCATCCCATGACAGAAGGGCAAAGAGAGGGTGAGAGAAAGAGAATAGGGGACCAAACACATTCTCTTATAAGGAAGCCACTCCTGTGATAATGAACTCACTCATGCAATAATGACATTAATTCATTCATGAGTGCAGTACCCCCATGACCCAAACACCTTTCGTTAGTCTCCACTCCCAACATTGCTGCATTGGGGATCAAGTTTCCTGTGGAGTATACTAACATTTGTAAAGCAAATGTATTTCACAGGGCCTAACTTTTTAGAATTACACATAGAAATGTTAAGCTTGCAAAAGACAGAAAAACTTTCCCCAGGCTAAAGCCTCTGTTGTAGATAAAGAATTGTAACACAGCAAAATTGCTGGCTCTAAGGGCAGATGTCCTTGGTGCAGCTAAACCTAATGATTGTTATCATGACTATTATCTTACTGTTCTTTTTGTAACCACCTATGTTCCTTTTCTGTAACTTTCTGGCCTGGAGAATAAATACTGAGAGAAAACCCTAGTTCTGGGTTATTTTCCAAGGAATGCTGCTCTCTTGAAGGTTGCTGGAAATTAACCCCTTCGGGTCTTCACACTGCTTAGAAGAAATGGGCTTTGAGTAATCCTTTGTGTCTCCGTCACCCTGGGAGAGGTGACAGTTTCCAACACATGAACTTTGGGGGTCACATTCAAATCATAGCAAATACAGTGATTGTATTTTTATACACATTTGATTTACTTATACACAACTGGACAAAGTATTTTAAATTAGCAGCATTTCAGAAAACCTAGCATTGTGGTTTCTGTACATATAAGGTAATTGTACTAATCAGAATATACAGTTCCTTCCAACTGTATAGGATTTCCTAGTTTGCAAATCATCTTCCACATATGATCTCATTTGAATGCATACCAGCTCTGAAAAGAAGACAGAATAGATTTCACTCCAACTTTATAGACGAGGACACCTGACCAGGTCCCAGTTTTAATGAGATGCAGATCCAGGAGCAGAACTTTGGTTCTCCCCTCTTGCCCCACGGCCTCCTTGGTTGCACACAGGAACCAAATCTTGCAATAAAAATAAATGCTTTGACCTTGAAAAGACATGTATCCCTTCCCCTCATTGTTCATCTGCCAGAAGTAGTCACATGGCCATGTATCACTGCAAGGGGACAGGGAATTGTAAGTTTCCTGTGTGCCCAGGACATGGGTGAACACTTATGAAAATAGTATGAAGAAACACGCAGAGAACACCTAACCTTTTTGAAAGTCCAGTGCTGGGTTCTCTCACAATAGATTTTTATTAGTTGATACTGACGACAGTCTTAGAAGGTTGACATTATTTTCTTTTTTATGGTTTTTGCCATCGCTGCTCTTGGAGGTTACATAACTTGCCCCAGAGTTCACACTAATAAGTGGAGGGAAGTCTGAATCCCTTTCTTTTCTCCATTTCTCAATTTCTTAGAATGATCTCTTTTCCATCCCACAAGAGATTTATTTTTGTAAGGGGGGAAGGTAAGGTACTGGAAAGGGATACACGAGGGCTGGCAATCCTACTGGCAATGAGTTATTTCTTAAGCTGGGAAGTGGGCACGCAGATGTGTATGTAATTCTTTATACCTTTTGGTCTTAAATATCTTTTGTAGGGCCGGCCCGGTGGCGCACTGGAGAGTGCACCGCTTGGGAGCACGGCAGCGCTCCCGCCGAGGGTTTGGATCCCATGTGGAGACCGGTTCCCACTCACTGGCTGAGCGTGGTGCGGGCGCAACACCGAGGGTTGCGATCCCGTTGCCGGTCCCCGGTACGGGCGCAACACCAAGGGTTGTGATCCCGTTACCGATCAGTAAAAAAAGACAAAAAGGAAAAAAATATATATATATATCTTTTGTAAGGGAGCCAATAGAATCTGAGAACCAGTGACAGATTCTTATCTTGAAAAGAAAAGCATTTTTCTATGAATATGGGAAGCCAGAAAGCAGGACATACAGTATTGTTAACATTTATTGAGCCCATACTATGTCCTAGATAATTTTATATAATTTACTTACATACATTAACTTCTCTCACTCTTCCAACAATCCTGTGAGGTAGGTACTGTTATTATTCTCACGTTAATATGAGATGAGAAAATTGAAACAAGTACAGATTAAGTGATTTATCTAAGTCACACAGTTTATTAAGGGAAAAACTGGATTTGAACCAAGCGTTCTAATTTCAGCATATGTACATATGACTAATACTCCCCTAAGAGGTGGACCAGGAGCCAAATTTTCGGAGGTGGGTGAAAACCTTTGTGCATCTCCTGCACAATGCCTGTTACATTCACTAGATGTTTACATCCAGTTAAACAGGGAATTCAAAATAGCTTTCCCATGACAGTCACAGAGAAGGGGTTGGTGGTGTTGGCAGCAATTTCAAAGAAATGGTTAACGCATGAGTTGACTCCCTTGGACTGGATGAAGAGGAAAGACCAGGTGATAATAGAGGGTTCTACCTATCGTGGAAACTTCCTTGGCAAGGAGGGTGGAGTTGGGAAGGGAGTAAAAAATTCCCGAAGCTCAAATGATCTACAAAACTACTCGGGGTTTTCTCCTGCTTGGATAGGGAGTTGGCTAGAAAGGCTATATAAAAAGTTTGGTGTCGATGCTGCTCACCAAATCACAGTTACTCCGGAACTGATCGTCTCATCGCCATCTCTCTTATTGCAATTCAGCCTCCCGACATACACGCGCACACACATAAACACGCTCCAGTTCAGGACTGCGGCATAAGGAACTCCCAGCCGGGACGCCCGAGCTGGAGGAAGCCCAGCCAAGCGTGCGGGATTGACAGCCCGCCCTGATCCGCGCTTGCGCTGCAGCCTGCGAGCTGTGGAAGACCGCCAGCAGGGGGCGCCCTCGCCCGGCTCGGCCGCTCTGTCTCCTCCCCCGCCCGCTCCCCGCCCCTCGCTTCCCGCAGCCAGCAGAGAAGGCGGAAGCAGCGGCGGCCGCGGCTGGGGCTCGGGCTCCGCTGGCCCGCGGAAGCAGCGGTGGCGGCCTTCGGCCCGGGGAGATTGGCCTTCGGACTTCCTTGCTTGGAAGTGCCGTGGCCGTCCTCTCCCAGAGCCCTGACTGAGCCGAGTGTGCGGCCGGGTGGAACCCTGCGCGCCTTGTTTGGCGGCCCAGCGCACTTGAGCGGTGAGTCTCCTTCGGGCGCCTCCTCCCGGGGGCTGCGGCCTCGCTTCCCCCGGGTCGGGGACGTCGCCCCCTGACCCGCCGCCTCCCCCAGGTCGGGGACGCGGCCCCCGTCCCTTCCCTCCGCTCTCCCGGCCACCCCCTCCCCTCTCACTCCAGTCCCCGGAGGGAACCCCGCTCCTACTTCCTCAGCCCTGCCTTCCCTTCCCAGAAAAGGAAATTGCTTCCTGGATTTTCCCATCTCTAGGAGCTGTTACCAGTTTAATTAAAAAAAAAAAAGAAGCCGTTCAAGTGCCCAGCGACTCCCTCTGTCACGGCCTTGGGAAAGCTATTTTTGGTTTCCCTGTTGAACTCGGTCAAGATCCAAGGCAGCGAATTTAAAAAAGAAAAAGAAAAAGTTTCAAATGACACGAGTGTTTCCTCGCCGGCCCCTGCACTAGGTGGTTCTAGCGATTGTTCCTGACACTGGGTTGATAAAACTGTTCCTAGTATTTGGCTTGAGGGGAACTCCAGCTGAGAGTTAGGACTGTCTTGAATGTGAACAGAAAGCACCTAAAGTATTAGCTGTTCGGATGTCTAGTATTTGTTTCTTTTGTTTCGTGGAGAGCAGATTACAGTACTGAATGTCTTGCTACACAGGTACAGGAACGAGAAAAACTTGTGAAGAAATTCTAAGTGTTGGCCTGGTGAACCTGGCCGCTGGAGTTTTATCCATTCTCCTTTGATTAGTAGGGAAGACGGAGGGGCTTTTCTGATTTTGAGGTTAGGGGTGTGGGGTAAGGACAGTGTGGCCTCTTGTGACTTAAGGAAGGAATGTGTTTCACATACTAGTTGCCCATGCGATAGATACAAGGAGCACATCAGAGTTTCAACATTCAAACACTATATACATCACAGTATTTATGAATTGTAACGTGAGGTCTTTTCTGGGATAAATTTTGGATATGTGGTGCTGATAAATTTTTGGCTACTTGGATTTTGAAAGAAGTGGTTCAAATCCTTGCCTCCTGAAGGAGAACAAATAGTGCCTAGAAAGGAGCATGCCCCTTGAATTTGGATTCAAAGTTAAGGTACAGTAATTAAATATTTTGCAGCATCTTCTGGACATTGCAGCACGTTTGTAGGTTTTTGCATTTTAGGAATAGATTTAAGGAATTGGTGAATAGTTCCTGTTTCTAAAGCTAGTAGCAAATTCAAGGTAATTTCTCAGGATTTTCTTTTACATAGTTTTACTCTATATGAGTTGTATGTTTACCCATGTATCAATTTCACTTGACTTGACATTGACTCATTTAAGGCATAACTTGTTGATTTCTTTAGCTTGGCACTTTCTCTCATTAGCATCTCTTGATCACAGAGGAACAAGTTTGTGGATCACCCTACTGCTCCCTCCCCAAGACATTTAACAATATTCTCTTGGGTTATAATGTGTACGCAGACACTAATTGGTGGAGTTAAGCCATGATTTATGACAAGGCTGTTTTCACTATTTATTCATTTTGCAGTCGAAATAAGTTGGCAGTAGTTACATCCCACGATATTTAATTAAAGTAGTACTTACCATACTAGATTCACAACTGCAAAAAGGGAATTGAAGTTATAAAGCTCTTAACTTAGAAGCTAAGGAACCATTTAAACTTTGTTTTATTCTTTATACTCATGTAGAAAGCCACATAAATGAGTCAAAAAGAGGCTGTCAGAAATTTTTATTTTCTGAAAACATATTAACTCTTACTTATTTGAGCTTACTTTACGTAAGCTAAAGTTCTTTCTCAAACCCACTTTTTATTTTTTTAATTTATTTTATTTTATTTTTTTTTGTCCTTTTTGAGACCGGCCGCACCGCGCTCAGCAAGTGAGCACACCGGCCATCCCTATATAGGATCCAAACCCGCGGCGGGAGCGCTGCTCTCTCCCGAGTGTGCCATGGGCTCGGCCCCAAACCCACTTTTTAGCAGTTCATGAAGGGGATCCTTGTGGCACAGTATGAGGTTAAAAAGAATCCTAGTAGAGCATAATATTTTCTGCCTGCATGCCGGATCATATTCTATTCACTTCTGTGGCTCACTCAAAGCACTTTTTGTTCTTCTCTTAGTGTTAATTAAAATAGCTGCTTCATTGTGGTTAAGTTAGGAAAGTGGTTTTTTGCTTAAGTGTTTGCGATCCGTAAAAGTAAAGGGAAAAAAGGCCTTACGTTGCCATAAAGGAAAATTAAACATAAAAATACTAAATGGTACTCAGAATACGGTTTTTGGCTTAATTTTCCCTTTGTAGTATAGTTACATGGGATTATATGCTGTATACTTAGAGGGTGAATGTCTGAAAAAGTTTATTTGGAAGATATAAGCTTCTGTGTTGCTCTTTTTTATATTGAAACATAACAGATTTTACATATTTGTAGGGTACAGAGTTGACTATCGATACTTGTATACAATATGTGATGATCAAATTAATTAGCATATTCATTACACAATGTAATCATTCTTTGTGTCCATTAACCAATTTCTTGCTGCCTCTCTTCCCCATCCCCCTTTAGTAACCACAGTTTTGTTCTCTCCTTCCGAATGTTCAACATATTATTGTGATTGTTGTTTGTTTGTTTGTTTCTTTTTTTTTTAGGTCCCACTTGTGAGTGAGGACATGCGGTATTTCTCTTTCTGGCTTATTTCACTTAACATAATTTTCTCCAAGCTTATTCATGCTGCTACAAATGGCAGAATTTCCTTCTTTTTTATGGCTGAGTAGTATTCCATTGTGTATATACACCACATTTCCTTCGCTAGTCATCCGTCAGTGGACATTTAGGTTGGTTCCATATCTTGGCTATTGTAAATAGAGCTGTGATAAAGATGGGAATGCAGGTATCACTTTGACCTGATTTCTGTAGTCCCAGCTTCTTGGGAGGCTGATGCTGGAGGATCACTTGGGCCCAGGAGTTCTGGGTTGTAGTGCGCTATGCCAATCAGGTGTCTGCACTAAATTCGTGATCAATATGGCGACCTCCAGGAGCAGGGGACCACTAGGTTGCCTAAGGAAGGGTGAACCGGCCCAGGTCAGAAACAGAGCAGGTTAAAACTCCCAAGCTGATCTGTGTTGTTTCTTAAAGCATGGAAAGTAACGTGAAACTTGAAGACATCTAGATTTTAAGAGTGCTCGCATTTGTCTTACAAGCCCACAGTGGAATTCCTTTTAAGGAGTTGTAACTGATTAAACAGGTTTTCTTAGGAACATATTAGCTATAAAAAGGTCTATTTAAATCTAAAGACATTCAGGTCTTTTGAATGTGGCTAGAAGAAGGTAGTGTGTAGACTATCCAATAACCCGAATTTTGAACTGGACATTTGGGTGGAAAAAGTAGACTTTAGCTCAGTGACTTTTGCCTTTGTCTTCTGGCTAGTACTTTGATATATGCTGTACAACTAAATAACAAATATTAATTTTTCAAAAGTGATTTTACTTTAAAAAGATAAAGTGGTTAAAAATTTAAGAGAAATATACCTCAGTATTGTCAAGGGTATAGAAAATGGGCTCTCATATATATTTTGTTTGTGGGAGTGGACATATTGGATAACCAGCAGTATCCATCAGAAAGCTTAAAAAGTTACATACTCATTGACCCTAAAATTCTACTTGGAAATTTACCTAAAGAAGTAATTGGACACAAAAATGTATATGGGAAGGAAAATAACAAAGGATATAAACCCTAGTGTAGCAAAACAGTGTTATTTGTCCTCAGATTCAGAGAATGTAAAGAGGGGCCTTATAGGGTGCGGGTATAATGATTAGTTCTACTGTTTGTCACTCTCTTGCCATTCCTTCTTTCAATCTGTATGAGCCCTCCTTAGGAGTCTACATCAGATATAACAAGGCTCTGGGAGCTNGGACCACTAGGTTGCCTAAGGAAGGGTGAACCGGCCCAGGTCAGAAACAGAGCAGGTTAAAGCTTAAAAAGTTACATACTCATTGACCCAAAAATTCTACTTGGAAATTTACCTAAAGAAGTAATTGGACTCAAAAATGTATATGGGAAGGAAAATAACAAAGGATATAAACCCTAGTGTAGCAAAACAGTGTTATTTGTCCTCAGATTCAGAGAATGTAAAGAGGGGCCTTATAGGGTGCAGGTATAATGATTAGTTCTACTGTTTGTCACTCTCTTGCCATTCCTTCTTTTCAATCTGTATGAGCCCTCCTTAGGAGTCTACATCAGATATAACAAGGCTCTGGGAGCTATTTTTAACTTTTCAAAAATATTCTATCAAAACTAAACAAATAAAATGTTGTTTCTTTGTTGATTCTTTGGAATTCTATCAACTCACTGTAGTAATGCTGGATAGCTCATGTGTAATAGTAGCTGAGGTCGGCACCTTAGTCTAATGTAATAAAAATAAAGGGAAATCAATTTTTAATGCAGCTTCATTGACAAATTCGTGAAACAGAGATAAACATAGTACAAAGTACATGGGCTCAAGGGTCAGGTAGACTTGAGTTCTGATCCCAACTCTGTTACTTATTAGTTGGGTAATTCTGGGCAAATGACTTATAACCTTTTTAAGCTCGTAGTTTCCACTTGATAAGTAGGGATATCAAAGCTATTAAATAAAATACTATATAAAACTGTTGTAGTGATAATGCATTCTTACTGCCAGGCACAGGTCTAAGTGCTTTGCACATTAACACATTTAATCCTCTCAGTAACTCTCAGGTGGATTCTGTTGTTAGCCCTATTTTACAGATGAGAAAATTGAAGCACAGAAAGGTTATATTACTTGCCCAGGTCATACACCAAGTAATGGAATAAAAGCGTTCAACTCAGATCATGCAATTCCAGCACGTGAACTCTTCACCACTTCACGGTACTGCCTTTCAAGCCATGACAGAGCCTCATCCTTTGTAGGTGCTCTCCAAATGGTACTCATAATCTTTGAGGAGAATAAAAAGGTATTTGTAGTGGTAAAAAGATCAAGGACTACTATCTTAATCTTCTGGCCAAGGGGCAGCAAGGATTTTTATATAAATATGAGACAGGCAGGGGACTAATTGTCTCCCCGTATTGACTGCGGGTAGACTGGAGGCTCACACTGTTTCTAGAACTATATCTGGCACATATTAGGAATTTTCCTCAAGGGTAATTATCTAAAATAGAGACATAGTTACACAGGCTGTGAATTGCTTTTAGACATTAGCTTCTCACTTGTAAGCCATAATGGTTTGGAATTTGAAGGCATCTCATCTGCTCGTGAGAGCAATAGTTTTCCATCGGCAAATGAAACATCACTTGTTTTTCCAGTCATTAATAATGAAACATAGTCACTTGACCTCACTGAAGGCAGATGGACATAAAGATATACTTTTTCATTTTTGTTCTTTCTACATAATAGAAATCTCCACACTGAGTATTTGGAAGTTATTGTGGAATTTTAGATCTAGAAGAAGAAACTGAGATCCAGACAGCAACTTCCCCGAGATCACACATCTGTTAGTGGCACGTGATCACCTCACTCCTTGTGCACTGCTCTTCCTGGCACTGCCCTGCTATAGCCATATTATTCTCTTCAGCTTAGGATACTCGAAGGTACTTCAGCAGCATGATTAAGTTCTTCAGCAGATGCTTATTGAACACCTATACTATGAAAAATTTTGTGCTAAATAATAAGGATATGAAAATTAAATCCTGACCTCAGTCACAGGAAACAGACATGAACAGATAATTATGATATAGATGAGTACTACAGTTGAGCTGCTTTTCCTTTTTTAACCTTATATTCTGTCATTGTACTAGATAGATCATGAACGCCTTAAGTGACTGACCCATCCTTTCTGTGTGCTCCAAGTGCTCTGCACAAATAATGGTATATACGTACTGAAGGAGGGAATCAGATAAGTTATGATAAAATAGTAGTCGTGAAGCAAAGCTCAAAACACTTTGTAAATAACATGAACACAACTAATATAACACAGCTAAAAGGTGAGTTGTGTAAACTATGTGCGTAGACATGTACATGTAAAGGCATTTTTTCTTGCTTTTTCTGCAGAGCAATTGGTAATCAAGTTACTATGAGTCTGTTAAACTGTGAAAACAGCTGTGGATCCAGCCAGTCTGAAAGTGACTGCTGTGCTGCCATGGCCAGCTCCTGTAGCGCTACAGCAAAGGATGACAGTGTGAGTGGAACTGCCAGCACAGGGAACCTCTCCAGTTCCTTTATGGAAGAGATCCAGGGATATGATGTGGAATTTGACCCACCCTTGGAAAGCAAGTATGAGTGCCCCATCTGCTTGATGGCATTACGGGAAGCAGTGCAAACACCGTGTGGCCATAGGTTCTGCAAAGCCTGCATCATCAAATCAATAAGGTACGTGAGCACAAGCAAGAATGAAGTGCTTATAATGGAACCAAATGCAGAGAACCAAATACACAGAACACAGGACATCCCAAGAGTATTCTTATTCATAAAAATCTAATTAGGAAGAACAACACTATAGAAAACTGAGAAAGTTAAGGTTCTTATCCCAGTTTCTGCTGTGGTATGAAAGGTGACTTCTATTTCATCCCTTCCCCTGACCCTTGGAAGAATAAGTAAATAAATAGCTACTTCTCCTTAAAGCAATTCTCATGCAGATTAGGGGGTGACTCTGTGCCTTAAGGAAATATTTTTTAAATGTACTTTAAATGATAATGCTACCCTAGATTATGATAATCTCAATCATGTGAGGAATGCTGACTCTGTAAGGGATCAGTTTTGATTTTAGTCACATTAAATTCTGTTGCTTGGTATCTAGGAGCAACTGTAAATTAACCAGTATTTTGAAAGAAAGTATTAACTGAAAGCTCTACCCTCATAATATATCCAAAATCTTATCCCTTCTCACTGCTTCCACTGCTACTGCCCTGTTCTGAATCACAATCAGCTCTCCAACAGGCCTACCTGCTTCTCCTCTCGCCTTCTGCCAGGCAGTTCTCAATACAGCAGTCAGAGTGAACCTGGTAAAATAAGTAAGATGATCTCACCTCTGCCCAGAACATTGTAACCAGTATCTGGAAGTAAAACCCAACACCGTTATAAGGCCCTATATGATAGACCCATGCATCTCTTCTGTGCTACCTTTGCTCTCCTTACACCCATTCCCTCTTTGTTCTTCCTTGAACATGTCAAGCACACTCCTGCCTTAGTGAATGGCTTTAACTGTTCTCTCTGCTTGGAACACTGTTGCCACAGCTGACACCTTAACTCCCTCCAGTGTGGCTCAAATCTCACATCTAATAGGTCCTCTGGCTGCCCTATTTATACCACAGCATGTGTCCATCCTACTTACCTCCAGCACTCCCAGTTTCCCTTACCAGGCTCTACGTTTGCTTTTTTCCTTAGCACTCTGCCTTCTAAAACACCACATAATCTATGTGTTTATCGTCTGCTCTCCCCACTGGAAGATAAGCTCCTTGAGAGCAAAGGTTTAAATCTGTAATATTTCTTGACATTTCCCTAATGCTGGCAACAATGCCTGACCCACAGTAGGTGCTCAGTAAATCATGGTTGCTTTAACTGAATGAAAGTACATGGGATTTCCACAAATGATTCAAATTCATCTCCTATGAAATAGATACATTTTACTGTAATTCAAAAGTAAATGGGAATATTTTTAGGTGACTAAGAAGTTGTAGGCAGGACAAAAAAATTGGAAGATTGGGGAGGTTTATAAGGCTCAACTTTTTTTCAGTTTATAATGATTTTTATTTATGTTGTATTTGGGTGAAAATGGTACCATATTATGGATCGTTAATTTTCCTGTAGGTAGAAATGCATAGTATTTTACCAAGTGTTACCCACCCATGCCCAGGGAGTTAACTAATTAACAGTTTTTTAATAGCTAGATATTCATAAAAATAGTGGGACAGTGGTTTGAAAAGAAAATAAAACCCACAAAAGGAAGTCAGGCTTTTTTTTTTCTATCTCCCTCTAAGCTAAAAATAACCCATGAAATTGGCTCTAATGTTCTTAAAGGACCTGCTCTGAAATTTCTTGTTATAGTCACTCAAGGAATCAAAATGCATCTCAGTCCACTTCCATTTTCTTTTGGGGTGTTTGCCAATACTGTGGATAATCGTTTTCAGTTTACTTTGTAAGTTTCTTATTTTCTCTTTGACACTTCTCACTTTAGGTTTAAGGTACATATTTCAGTAAACTGTTTATGGCTTCCTGTGCTTCTCAGAGAACATTTGGTAGTGTACTAATAACATTATGCAGTCTGGGAGAGGCCCCATAAAGATCATTATGTATCTCACCTCTGTTAGGTCTGAGCCATTTGACAGCAATCACCATTTTTAAGTCCTTTTTGCCTACCACAGCAACTAGCAGTGTTGAGCACATAGGTACTTGGTAAATGTTTGAGTGATTGATTAAGGTTCCGATAGCCTACCAGACCCTGTCACATTTTGAGTGTGAAGATTGCCCTTTAACTTTTCGGGATGTCTCAATGACAGACACTCAAGCTTCCCAAGAATGGATTTTCCCATCATAAGACAAAAGAAACCACTGGGAAGCAGGACATAGATAGAGGTCCTTTAACTGCCTATTACGTTGCACCCTAGACATACAAATAAAGGAAACCTTTTTTGCCCATCAGCTGGAGTGTTGTAGTGACAGTTTCAGAGTGAAAAATGTGGCCTCATGGGGTACCACTAATTTGTTAACTTACGATTGAGCAATGAACTATAGACATGTTGGTATTGTGAGCAGCACATTCCATCTTAGTTGTGTGTTGTATAGGTGCTGACAGAATAGAGGCCAGCCAGACTGCCAAAATTCCCATTCTTAACTTTTACCTTATTTTATGCCAATCAAAATATGATTTTATTCAATTAATGTTTCTCATTTTTTTTAAGCTGGAATGTATTCCAATCTCAAATCCCATAGCTTTTGATAGGTAATCAATATGGTGCTTGTTGTACTCATTTCATAAAAGAGTAGTTCATAAAATAGTTTATTTTGGTGATACTATGCAATAGAATGTGCTAAATTATTTTTCATAGTAAATAATAAATGGAGAATTTATTGTAGTAAATTAAAGTTGTTTGGATTTTCTAATGTGAATGTTTAAATCTACTCATTGTACATATCTTATTTGTTTCTTTTAGAGATGCAGGTCATAAATGTCCCGTTGACAATGAAATACTGCTGGAAAATCAACTATTTCCTGACAATTTTGCAAAACGAGAGATTCTTTCTCTGATGGTAAAGTGTCCAAATCAAGGTTGTTTGCACAAAATGGAACTGAGGCATCTCGAGGTATTAAAGTTATTTTCTAGCTGTTAGCATGTATGCAAGGCACCTCCTGTGTCCGTCTGTGTATTGCCAGTTCATAGCAAATGATATTTGGTTAATAAATTCTTGCTGAATTAATACCAACCCTTTGATTATTGAATATAAATGTAAATAGAAACCAAGAATTTCTTATTCTGTCTGCTGTTGCTTTGCCCCAACAATAATAAAAAAGAAATTAGTGTTCTTCTACAAGTTTTTTGAGTGAGCATTATCTGCAGTAAAGCTGAAGCACATTTTAAATACGTGTCATATTTTAATCCCATAGCTTCATTGCTCTCATTTTGAAATAAATAGTAAGTCCCATATAGCCATCATCTCAGTAGCCTCGTCATACTGTTTTTCTCAATTGTGCATTTTATTATGAACTACATGGAATACTCCTGTAGTTTGAGATTAAATAAAGCAATTAGATAATAAAATGATTTGCTTTATATTAAATAAATCAGTTACTAGCTTGGTATTTTTTAATCAGATTAAATAGTGTTAATGTTCTATTTGAAATTAAATGTTTAAGACAGATTTGTAACTTGCTCCTATTAGCTCTTTTTGAAGGAGTGGTCCTCTTGACGTAGTACTAAGTTGATAATCAGGAAATCTGACTTCTTTCCAGCTCTCTTCCCTAATTGCATGCATGAACTTGAGAATTCGCCTTATTTATATAAATTTGCAGTCCACAGCCATTATTTGGAGAAAAACCCTTAAGGCCTTCATATTGTGAATAATTCTGTGGTGTGTACTAGAAAAAGTCAGTTCAGTAGCCAGTTTTATAAAAGAGAACAGTGTATTCTTAGAAGAGAGTTCAGGGTTGACAAATACTAATCAATTACTTTTTTTTACTTATTGTAGGATCATCAAGCACATTGTGAGTTTGCTCTTATGAACTGTCCCCAATGCCAACATCCCTTCCAAAAATGTCAAATTGATATTCACGTTCTCAAGGATTGTCCAAGGAGACAGGTTTCTTGTGTAAACTGTGCTGTGTCGATGGCATTTGAAGATAAAGAGGCATGTACTAACTTGGATTTGTTAATTCTACTACTACTTAAAAAATTTTGTAAATGTATATTTGAGGGGGTTAGCAGTAGATATGGATATGACTCCAACTCTGAGTCCACATTATCAATTTGGGGAAAACTGATTTTTAAGAAAGAAAAGAAAGTTCAATAACCATTTAATTAAGTAGATGTAAAGCTTACATTTGGACATCTTTCTTAAAAATATTCTTTATACTAATTACCACTATTGTAGATCTGCAAATAACAAAAGCTTCTAGAAAAGGCACATGCTGATTGATTTTTCTATGTGATAGTTTAATGACCAATCATACACAAACAAATGAATGATTACTGTATAAGACTTATACAGAATTGTTTTCAAAAAGAGAATGGGTTGGGGCCGGCCCGGTGGCGCACTCGGTAGAGTGCGGCACTTGGGAGCATGGCGGGAGTGCCGCCGAGGGTTCGGATCCCATATAGAGACCAGTCCGCTCACTGGTTGAGCGCGGTGCGGGCGCAACACCGAGGGTTGCGATCCCGTTGCCGGTCATGAAAAAAGACAAAAATAAATAAATAAATAAATAAATAAATAAATAAATAAATAAATAAAAAGAGAATGGGTTGTTACAGCTATTACAAAGAATAAATTAAATCCCACAAAATGTGTTCTCCTTATGATAATTAATCATGCTATATACATGTAATGTATTCACTTTTCAGTATGTATGTTATACTTCAATTGAAAACTATATCTTTTGAAAAGAAATGTTATGTGCCTCAAAGCATCATGATAATAGAGCAGTTTTTCCATTCAGAAGCTGAGATGTAGAGAGGTTAAGTAATTTTATATTAATATTTTCAGCGGCAGAGCTAACACTACAGTTCTAGCCTTTGCTCCCTAACCTATGTACTCTTTACTAAAATAATCTAGATATAATTTATATTCTTTTCTACTATTACTTAGATAACTTCCTTATAAGAACTTTAGTTCTTATAAATTTGTATTGGTAATTTTCCCTAATTTCTTATGAGATCAAGCATACTATATTCATTATGTTGATAAAATATTCAAAAAAATCAGCCTTCTAAAGATGTAGAGAAGTCTCAGACATAATTAGAGCAAATTGGCATCTCCTTCCTAAACTTCAGTAAATTAGATGAACTTAACCTGAAGGTTAATTATTTCTCAGCACATCTACTAAAGTCATTGTATTCTAGAAAACAAGGCTCACCCTTCTGGGGCATTTGAGAATCTGGGCACCAAAGCCTCCTGCCCTAATACATTTGTTCTTTAACCCTGTCGACAAGAGTTGTAATTAAATCATCATGCTGCTGCTAAAAATTTTTGTAAGAAGCATTGCCAAATGATGTCCAAACTAGACACAGATGCTCTACCTCAGATTAAAAGGAAGTGAATTTTAAAATTCTCTTTTACCTGCTACCATATTCTTTTAAAGAGCTAGAAGTTTGTATGAATCTTGTTATTACACTGGCAAAGTGAGAAAAAAAATATTTTTATATTTTATTATCAAGTTTTTGCTTTACATAAATTGATGTTCTTTGTTTATAGTGAAAAATTACTTTTTATAAGAATTAGTTGTTTTTACTCTTTCAGATTTTCTCATGATTTTCTCATATTTCTCTAATAAAATTTAGATTCATGACCAGAACTGTCCTTTGGCAAATGTCATCTGTGAATACTGCAATACCATGCTCATCAGAGAACAGGTATAATGATTCTCTTTCATAAGTTAATATTTTCATAAATAGCTTAAAGTGAGTTAGTTTTTTTAATTGAAAATATAAATGAATAAGGCAAAATGAATACAGGTTGAAGAAGTATTAGAGCTGTGTGAAAATTTTTCATATAAATTAATATAATTAAATACTTTCTGAAATAAAACATCCAGCCCTTTTTAAGTCGTTAAAATTTTTTTTTTT